TACAAATAATACCATTAAACCAATTCCTTAACCCCTATCGCGGTATGTTTGCGTATTTGAAGAAGTTTCACTTCATTAGCGTGTTGTATAATTACACGCCGTATTTTTTTTTATTTATTTTTATCACTTTTGATATGAAAACCTCAAAAAATAACTTCACAATAATTCTTATGAAAGAAATTAGACTGATATATTAATTAAGTACAATCAATAGGCAATTTCTTATTTATATTTCGCAGTTTTTAATGAAAACGTTCAGTTGTCCAATTATCTATCTACTCCTTCATGTATTTTAATTTTATTATTTGTGGTAATATATCAGCATGTATGTACATATATTATTGTCGTTGACCATTCACCAAACAATATTATTATTGATGAGTCAAGCTGCCATGCAAAAACCGCAAGAGAAAACAATACAAAGTCAAACAATTTAGAATGTATTTACATAAGTATAAGTAAAAGTAGTTCCCATCGTAGCTGTCCCTTTACCCCACAACCCCCCTGTTAGTATTTTAACACTCTTATCTCTCGGTTAAAATACAGTCAATTTTCAACATATTTGTGTAATAGTACCAAGTTCGTCTGAACGATAATAAACGATAAAAAAATCCGTACAACAGACACGGATTCACTAAAATATTTCGACCATTAAATTCAAACACAATTTTTAATACTTATTTTCGCTGGGTTAATGTTAGGTTTCCCAAATTATTTGAAAATATGTAAATAATTGCGCTTTAATACAACAGAGTTACGCATGTGATAACAGTTGCACTTTTTACTATTCAAAATTACAGTTTTAGGATCAAAAAAGTTGATTTTACGATAGTTAGTAATAAATGTTTTTGTACGGTTAGGTAATTTAATGTTTCAACAAGAATATTCTACACTCTACAATTGTTTTTTGCAGCCTTAAGTATTTTTTGGGAGTACCTAGATAGACATCTAAAATCTAAATGTATTTATATATAAGTATGTACTACATTTGAGAATGGCTTAATATGCCGAAATAATTATTGTAGAGTAAAAAACTCTTGTTGGATCATTAAAAAACAATTATCTTTTTTCTCACCATTAATTTTAAGTTATTTATGTTTTTTTTGTGAAAAATATTTTGACGTCTTTAAAAGATTAATATTTATAAAATAAACGTGTGCAGCTAATGCCAATTTTGTGGAATACACTCGAGGTATTCACCTAGACATTTTAATTTAAAATTTAAAACTAATTTCAATTATATACATTGGATTTTAACGACTTGTCTTTTTTTTCTACAATATAGGCTTCCTTTGAGATAATATCCTTGGATTAGATGGGCAAACTATTTACAGATGTGATGTTCCTGGCAGTCAAATATATTTTTATTTCCAAGAATGCTGGTCGAAAAATACATACAACAGGATGTTAATGGTGGTAATTATCATTAATAATAAAGTAACAAAACTTAATTAAAAAAAATAAGACTTAAGTTGTTTCAACAGTTTCCAGTAAAATGTAATAAATTGACATTAAGAGGGTAAATCAGCAAGGGGAAGAAGTACAATCCCATTCAGCTTCTTTCTACTGGCTTTGGAAATGGGCCGTTAGTGGAAAGGGTAAGCAATCTTTAATTATTTTATGCAGAATGGTTTGACAATAATTTCTGTTATAATTTTTTACACTTTTGAATTGTAAGTTAAAATATTTTAATATTTAAGATGAAACTAACATTAAATTGTTTTGACAGGTTATGATTTTAACACATGAAACAAACAAGGTGAAAAAATACAAAGGATTGGAAACCTGGAGAAGTGGAGCCCCTTGGACTTGAAAGGTGCAGTTTTTAGAAATATGTGCAGTCCAATTGACACCGATGCATATAAAGTTACACTTGTGATGTCTTTGTGGCTCATTTCACCATCAGTGGTATTATTTTCCTTTCACAAGCATCTATTGTTGAAGGTACTTCCCTGTTGTCAACGCTTAGGAATAAAACTCTAGCATCATAGAGTATACTTGAGGTAAGCGGTTGTTTTACTGTTTATTTTTCTGGCATCTATGGTTTCTCTTCTATCAATTATCTATTGTTCACAAAATAAATAAACTAGTACCATAGAGAATCATTGAGGTAAGCAATTGTATTTAACTCATAGTAATTTGCCATGTCTACCGTCTATGATTTCTCTTCTAGCAGTTATCTATTGTCCAGAACATCTATGGCGATTTCTATTGCTTTTGACATTTATCTGTCATAAATGTAATTGACGCCCATGTCGCCATTTTATAATGTAGTTATTTACTTGCCTTTTGGTGCATGTTTTTATTGTATTTCATGTTTTACTTAACTTAATCCCTCCTTTAATTAATATTTTTTTTGTCTATTTGTACAGATCGTCCAACAGATGAGAGGAAATTGAAGTTCAGATTGATCCTATTGAAGCAAAACTAATAACTGGTGTTGTCTTTCTTGGACTCTATTCTGGATTTGCTGTTTTCATCTTCACCTTGCAACATTATGCAGTTAATTTTCAACAGATAAGTGAGAACAAGAGGAGATTTACTGGAATTCCACTAAAGGAGCAAGTTTTCTTCTTTGGCATTTCTACTGGATTTGGTTTGCTTTTCACACCTGCAAACTTTGGATTGTTACAGTCTATTATTAATTAAGGTGAGAATACTTGATACAATTAATTTTAATTGCTCTTTATTAATCTATTACCACCGTATCTGTTTCAGATCGACGTTGGAGAAGACAAAGATGACCCCATAGTTAAAATAGTTCTCTATCTTGCATGCTCTATGTAGTAGAATTCATCAAGTTCGTTTTATTCAAATTAGTTTTTTATTTTGCATGTTTTTTTT